GGAGAATGGTGTTGTGAATGAACTCCATCTTTCAAAAACTTAAAAAACCAAAATTATTCGAAGAAAATCCTGTTAGAAATTGCTTATTTCAGTACTAGGGTACCACACATTCTTATTCTCATTCCTTACATCTTAACTACTTATAGTGTTCACGATGCTTTAGTTTCCGATCCAACTGGCGAAATTTTCGAACTTCATCTGCTTTAATTGCGTCTTTGAAGTTCTAGTCCTTAAAAACTGGTGATTTTCCATTTCTTAAGTTGGGACCGGCACAAATGGGCATTCATAGTTCTAGTGGTTCGTGAAATCGGAACTATGTTGGGATTGTTGTTACTTCAGGTACTGCACTCCGATGAAAAGTAATCTCGCTAGACCTGATGTTGTTCCACGAGAAGGGTACTCCAGCAATGGCTTATGTGAGAAATGTAACCGCCAACAGGAAATAATAATGCGAAAAGTCGCAGAGTTTGAGCCATTAAAGGAGGTGTGTTTTGTGTATTTTAAAGAGCAGTAGAGCTGGCTTTACAAAGTTTGCCCATTCTTTGCATTTCTCTATGGTCTTCGAGTTTTTCAGGAACGCTGGAGTGAGGAGTTGGAGATGTATCGCTATAAGCTAAACAAAGCCTATCCGTTATGTGCTAGATGTACATTTTTCACGCAGAACCGGATGCAAGAAGAAAAGGTTTTTTGATTTTGAACCTTACCGATTGCCTTTTATTCTTGAACACTTACCATTAGTCAGTTGGTGCTATCAAAGTGCTGACACCACATCCACCTGCACATAGAACCCTGATACAGTCAGTTTTTTGGTGTTACTTCCTCTAGGGGTTCTGTGGTGTTCCCAATAGGCTATGTCTTGCTCAGGCGGTTTTAGCCTGCGCTGAACGGCGCTGGTTCCTAAAATGAATGTCATTTCATGATTAGGGCACTAAATAACTCTTAAACATAACTCCACAGCGATGTTAGTGAAAGATACTGTTGCATCGATTGGCGCAGAATCGCACTAGATAGCCGCTAGCACTGCATTAGAATGAATGTTGAACACGTTATCAGGACACCACACTACCGGATAGTTGGGTTTTTCTCAGCGTGGCGAAGCGTTAGCTCATGCTGCTCTTCTGTCGTCTTCATAGCTCTTACCTGATGTCGTTGTCCAATTGTGAATGACCGGGCAATATTTTTTTTAAATCTAAGATGGCTATACTCATGGTAGGCTGGTGCTGACAGGATAAAAAAGAAAGTCGTGGAGACTTAGAAATAAACCAGGGTCAACACCAATTTTGAAGAGTCTTGCATCTTCCCTTCATTTCATTGGTAGCTTCAAAAATATCGCTTGTATGGTGGGAGCGAATGCATGACGTCGTCAACAGAGCAAACAGTGTTGTTAGGTTCGAGAGTACTATTACTATTCAGCAATTTTCAGGTGAAATATGCCTATCTATTCGCGCTCAAGAACAATTTCGCCAAATCTATAGTCAGTGGCATTACTTCAGTTACAAGACTGGCTAAAAAGGTTGGTAATCAAGCGGCTAATGGGTGTCTGGTCAAGCTTGTACAAGATGAAGTCTTGTGATTTATTTTTAAAGGGTTTCGACGTCTTCTCCTATCTCAAATCCTCCATTTAATATTGACAATTTGCAGGCGGTACGACGTCGCCGACATTTCTTTGCTGGTGGTTTCATGGTTGAAATACTACATACGATTTCATTTGTTCTAGCCTTGTTGTTGTTCATTTCACAGTTCAACTACCTGCAAGAGGTTGGGATTTTGTTCAGTTCGCTTGCCTCCTTTTTTTCTAGATTTTCCAGCGAGGAACATTTTCTCCAAATTCTATTATGTTTCAAGTAAATCGTTGTCGTTTGGCCTTCTAAACGTAGAATATGTGAATTTTGTCAAACTACTCACGTATACTCACAGCCCTATAACGTAACTGTTTCTTTAGGATGCCGGACTTGATCTGTTCCGATTTCCTCTGTTTATTCAAATGGCGCTCCCTTCCCTGCTGGGCGTAGCTTACCATCTCGTCGGAGGATTGTTTTGTGCTCACATGATAACGATATGGACGAATAAGTACCATTTTTTCTGATCTCAAAGGCATTTGCTCAGTTACTCTTTCTGGTTTTTGCAGGTGTCGCACAACATTGCCGGATCTTATTCTTCCAGTTATTGCTGCAATGCATCTGGCATCTTTTATTCGCCGAAACGTAAGTGATCGTCACTATACTGTTAGGTTGTCCCATAATTAGTGTATCCTTGGCTAATTTTCGATTTCATTTTTTTTGTTACTCACCCGAATCGCTTGCTCATTCAAAGGCACACATTTTCATCTTAGAAATATTGTCTACGTATGAGAGCTGATCGCTGCCTTTCCTTTGGAATTCCGTGGGCTTCTGCTCGAAAAAAGACCGGCTACAATTTCTTACTCGACGAAAGTGTCCTAGAGATCAGAATGGGTGGTCATTGTTTGGCACAAGGGTTATGACTACACGGCGAAGCTGAAGAGTTGTCAGCCTGAGAATCCATAACTCTTTTGAATTATCTCCGCGAGGTTGGCGATCGTATCAAGTATGAAGACAGACTTTGTCTAATTTGGTTTTCAAGTGAACGCGCCCCATCAAGCGTCCAATTTGCTTTTTTTCCACCTAATGTAGGAGGTGTGGGTTTCAGCGCAAAGCCGTTTTGCTGTCACAACATCTCAGAGCATGCGCTAAGGAGCAGTTAGAGCTTTTGGAGTCAGGATAAGGGAACTTCAGCTAAGCCTGCTGCGCTCAAGACTTACAAACCTTTCGCCAAATTCACGTCACCGGTAAATTACGCTAGATTTAGTCACCGAGAGGCGAGGCTAACGAAACATGTCATTCGAATCTTTATGGAGTGATTCAGGTGTGGCAGTGCGGTGCCAAAATTCATATTTGAAATTTTATGATCATGCCATTCAAGTACCACCGCATTGACCATCCCAAATAACGAAGCTTTCCATCCAGTTTCAATGGTGGCGGTAGAGCGACGAGATAGTGTCGCGGAGTGGTGGGAGCCGTGGATACGTTGTAAAGGCCAACTATGGTCAAGAAGAGCGCGCCTCTTATTTCGGTTATCTTCCATGTCGTTTGTCGATAATAGTGGCGAGAAGCTCAGAATAGTACTGAATAAGTTATAATAGCTCAGGCAGTGTGTAAATGATGGTAATTTGTTTGGGGGACCGATGTGAGTGCTTCTTTACATAATATATCATGCCTAAAATTTGTGGTAATTTTCACACAGAGCTGTAAGTATCGCTAATTATGGGAGCAGCCTAAATCACTGAGTGTACCTGGGAAGTATGCTGGAGCTTTCCGGCGGTCACGAATTTGTTACACTTTGTTCTCTAGTGATGAAATCAACTGGGGCTTTTCTTCTTACGTTTTGGCCAAACGGTGGACCGAGAATAATCGTTAGGTGTTTAAATAAAAACACACGCTTATAGTGGAACAAGATTTTTATTCTCAGATGAATTCACGCTTCCGAAAAGCAAAATTTTGAAGTTTTTAAACAGATAAAGTTCCTTTTTTTCAGAAATATCGCGAAGATTTGGCACTGTTTCGGTGTGCTTTCGCTTGTTTTGAGACATTGTTATCTACGGCTGTTACATTTGTCCCACGTAAAAAGATCTCTCGGACTCGACCGAACAGAATGCTGTCGAGGTATTGTAGACTGTTACGTATTGCTTTGAAACGTTTACAGAGTCAGTTTTACTCAGACTTTTCATGACTATTCGTCATGCCTTTGCTTTGAGCCTACAAAACTAGCAAAGTATTTTATAGTAGAGTTCTTTGAAGTTCTGGTTTTTAGCGCATTTTCTGTTGCATCCACGCCTGTGTCGCAATGTTCTTCCCAAACGAGCAGTTGCGACAACTCTATGGTGCACGATAGGACCCTAAACAGCAGTATTGGAGAGAGGAAAGATTCAACGCCGAATGATACCGTTGTGCGACAGCGTCTAAAATGGCGAGAGCGTCAGCAAACGCCAGAGCCTTCAGCTAGCCCAGCAAGAAAGATTGGGTGTGAATACGAGGTGAGTGCGTTGAAAGTGATTTGAATTTTTTCATTTAAATATCATTTGCGGAAAGATTATCTCTAGAATTCCTTGTTTATAATATCGGGATCTGAATATTCAGGATATGGACTGGGAACCGTCTCTAGATCGGACTACTACACAGCCATCTCGCAGTATGCGTCCGTCAGAAGTGATGGCGCGTATGCGTATGATTCGCGAGTCCACTCCGAGTCGGGAACTTGCACCTTCTTTGTCATCGCTCTCATTGCTTGGTGATTCGCAGCAATCCGAGTCCGGCGGTTTCGGAGGATTTACAGGACATCGAACTCGCACAGCCGCCTCTGAAATTGGTAGAGGCCGATACAACGCTCCTTCCATTGCCCCTTCACACTTTTCGGTTCGTTGTTGATGTTTTCTTTTTTTCTCTGGATCAAAGGTGGGGCAGAATCCAACTGTTTCCTGTCAATTCTATTGCCAGATAATTAGGCGATCAGAACATATTACCATGGATAGCGTTCAAATAGTAAACCACCTCTAACCTTGTTTGCGCTATGAATGATTCACATATAGTTATATCCATTTTAATATTGTAGATTCCTGATATTGTTATATGAAGAAAACGTTCATGGAAACTTCTTTCCTTTTAGACTAGCACTTCACCCAGACTTCCTTCGATTCGCTCTCTTCGTCGTGACGTGTCGCCATCACGATCTGTTTTTACCTCAGATCTCTCAGCGACAAGAAGAATCTTCGAACCGCTGGGTGGTGCCCGTATTGGTGGCTTTTGCGGTTGTAAGTCTGGTTGCAAATATTATGTTCTTTTACATGGTATTCAAGAAATAGTTCTGTTTTCTCCTCCTTGCACTGGGAAGAGCCGAATAGGGAAGCTTTAGCAAGTTGTTACATTATTTCGCTGTTATTGTCAATTACTGTTTTGGTTATTTCATTGGTTGATTGTCGCAATGGCCACTGTTTTTGTTTATGCATGTTTATCTCATGATTGTTGATCTTTTGCGTTGAGAATTCCTCAATCAGCCAAAATCTGCCTATCCCCTCATGGAAACTCTAAGCTAGGCTCACTTTTTGCTGCTCTTTCTCACGTTGTTAATCGTTGATCTCTTATTGAACTTTTTTGTTATTGTATTTCTGACTGTCACATTCATTGTCGATGGCATCAGTGAGATGCCTCCATGTAACATGTATACTTTCCTGGTGATAAGAAGTTATGTTTTTGAATCCTAATCCCGGTCAAATAATGAAAGCAATAGTTGTATTGGCGTTTATCGCACTGTATCAACATTCGAATTTCTGGATTCAATACTTTCTTGTTCTTGTTCCTCCTGCATAACGGCTAGCGGAGATGGTGTCATCTTGAGAACAGTAATCGTCATTCAAACAAATGTTATCAGTATATTTAGGAGCGATGGGAACTTGTATTTATTTTGGAACCGGGCAAAGGAGAAGAGCGTTGTGTAAGAGTCGCATACGTCATAAATTAATAACTCACAAAATTCGGAACTTGGAAGAGTAGATAAAAAACTAGGCCTGTATGCAACTAGAGGCATCCTTCGCGTTCTATTTCTATTCCCAGTATGATCCGTTTTCTGATGGATCGTACAAATAGAAGCGCTTCGTGATTTGGCTCAATCGTTCCTCGTGTGGGCTGGTGTCAGAGTCCGCGATCCGGATTTGCGCGATTTTCGCGATTTGCGCGATTTTTGCGCGATTTTCGCGAAACCTGCGATGGATCACAGGAGTTGGAAGTGCCCGATGAATACTGCGAGGTGTTGTTTAATCCTGCTGCGAATTCTGCTTGGCAGTAAAGATTGGAAGACGAATGTTTGTGGTTCTACTTGTTTCATGTTCAATGTCTATTAGTTCATTGAAATGCTCTTGAATCGTCCTATTTTGTTCTTTTTTTTCAGGAATCAAACCAAACCAATCACAAAAATTGCAAGTGCCCCATTTGAACAATTGAAACACTGGATATGAAACAAGTGGAATCATGAGCAGTCTCCATTAAACCATAACCATCAAGCAGAAGTGACGGCGGGATTGGAGAACACCTTGCAGTATGGATGGGGCACTTGTAATTTGTGACCCGTCGCGAAAATCGCGCAAATCGGCGACCAATCGCCGCCAAAAATCGCCAAAAACGCGGACTCCTGACACGCAGCCTATGACTGGCTTTCATGCGCCAGCCGCTACTTCCGATCTTCACTTAAAGTTCGCGAATATTGAGGTAAATAGTTCTAATACATTATACGAAGTTATACGAGCTGGCCACACGGCAATACGAGGCATAGAATCCTTCCCACTCTAGCAATTGGAACGAAAATCAAGACGCTGATGCACCAGTAAGTGGCCCATACTCTAGATCCTCCAGCCTTTGTTTTGAAAGCTCAAAGTGAGAACAAAATGCTTGGAACGTCCCACATCTAACGACATGAACGCTGACCATACGATACTTCGAGTTCAATGTTAGCTAGAAGAGGGGAAGGGAATTTGAGGCTGCTGCTCGTTTCAGTGCCTTCGAGTGACTGGCGAACCCAATCACTGAAAATAAAGTCGAGGCCAACATTCTTCTATTTCCGAAAAATAATTGAAAGTCACACTCGTCTAGCTCCCTTTCTGCTCAGCGAATTGGGCAGATTGTTTCATCTATACCATCTATTATTCTCCCTTCAAAAAATGGATTGCTTTGATCAGCGCGAACTACTGCACAATAGCACCCACTCTAGTGGAGAGCACGAGAGCCAAAACCTCGAGACCATCCATAGTCGAAAGTAAAAACAGGAAGTAGGCTTTGCTTTCCATTCCAAATTGCGTTCGGAGCACGCTCACAGTGTAGGGGATATGTGAATATGCAGCATTTCTTTCCGCGCGGAAGATAAATCGATTAGTAGGGCGATAAAGGCAATAGGAAGGAAGCTCCGGCTCTGTGCATGGAAAACGAAATGATTCAAGTGACACGCAAACGGCATTTCGTTCCGCTTGGCGTAATTATGGCGCTCATCCAGTACGGGGGGAGGGGGGGCACAATCACAGAAAGTATATTCTTTTATTCTCTATGAGAGCCACGCCTCAGAAGAAGGGGGGACCGCCGGTAATGGTTCGCTAGGACGACTCTGCTTCGCAGCGCGAAGCTTTTATCGTTGCAGGGTCCACCACTTATCACCAGTGGACCGCGGTACTCGCAGTGAAGGAAAGTTGGCATGCGAAACGAAATAGTTACGTTTTACTGGAGGCGCTCATATTCTTGGGGGGGGGGACAAGTGAGTGAGACAATTACTGTGCTTGGGACTAAGCCTCAGGCAGGGGAAGGGATTCTGTGGGAGTATGCAAGCAATATGTGTGCTCCATGCCGTTTCTCCCCCTCTTGGGCTTAGTCCTAATGCCACCTTCAATCGGCCCTGTTGTAGATGTCCCCCCCCCCCAAGGACATGAGCACCCCTTTTATTCTGTTTAAAGGCACAACCCAGGCAGAGGTTTTTTATAACTCTTCTCTTCGGTCAGAAGTATAGAACCCTAGGGGACAATCACAAATGTGGCGTTCACGTGCACGGAATTCGACCGACAAGAACGCTTTGGGCTTGCAAAGTAAGCTGCTCGAGCTGCAGCGAACGAGCTCTCTTATCAGGCCGTTGTCTGGTGCTCTCTCATCTGATGCGCTCTCTCGCCCCATACTCTCCTCTTCGCGCTTAGTCTCTCGTTCCTTTAGCACAGCCAATTAGGAAGGTGAGTGAGCCCTCAACCTGAGCGTTTTCGACGGATTCTTTTCCTTTTTTCTTCACTGCCGGCCCACTTGGCACCGATACATTCACATTCGTGTGCAAGAGCCACACCAGTGCGATCCTGGGGCATGCCTTTAAAGCGAACCACACCGGGAGCCCGAGTTGTGGAACTTCTTTGATTTTCTCAACTCAACTCGGCTGCTTGTCGTATGCGGGTGCCGCTGGTCCGCAGCCTCACTTAATTTTACGCTTTTGGAAATACGGTAGTAATCAAGATTCCCGCTTCCGAGCTTGTCGAAATTGGCCGCGTCATGTCGCTATTCTTGAAATATTTGCTGGTTTCTTATTCCTTGGTTGACGATTTATTCGTGGTGTACTTGAAAACACCTAAAACGGGCGTCAACTGGGCGTGCAGAAGGTAATGGAATGAAAGTGAGGAGAGTGTTTGGTGTGCGTTTACCACACGGAGTGTATAAAGTCCATCAAATATGAAATCTTTGTTCGATTAGGGTTTCATGGACTAACAATGCGGCGCTAATCGCTAATCATGCGATATTAGGTCCGCTATCACGGCTTTAGTGCGCCATTTTCAACTAAATAACCATGTGTCCAACGCGGTTTTTTTAAATGCATTGCCATCAACGATAGCCCTCGTTTAACTGCGATAGCGACTAGAAGACTTTTCTTGAGATATGCGTCGGGCGGGGGGGGGTGGGGGGCTTCCAATTTGATCAAAGCTGTGAACATCTGCGAACCATGTCAAGGCGGGCGGCTTTCTGCCAAGGGAAAGTCATTCACTGCCTCAAAAGACACTGGGGGTACAGGGGCGCGGTTCACTATAACAGAAAGCGACCTTTTGGGTTTCGCAGCGCGAAACATTTTTCGCTGCAGGAAACTTGGGTCCACCGATTTTCTCTGTGGAACCTCTGGGTCCAATGATCAGGGGCCGTATGCTATCCTTCCCCGAAGCTAGGTGACCCAAAGTTCCTTATAAATTTATTTGCTTCGAACGGTGTAGTTTCTTCATTTTCAATGCATGTTTACTTTTACCTACATGCATACATTTAATGTAGGCCTTTTATCAGGGTAATCCCAGTTGGGAAGACAAAAGAATTTTAACCCATAACGGACGGCCAGTGTATTTTTGCGTGCGCCACCATGTGGCGCACGCCGCCACCCAGGGTAGGGTTTATGTAGGCTTATGTGAACAGCAGGGGTAAGACGGGGCTAAAGTAGGTGTCGGAGTCTCATCATCCGAAAAAAGAGATTTCCGTTGACGACAAGTTCGTAGCCCGCCTTTCCGCTCTAAAACTAGGGTGCAAAGAATGAATGGAAGCTGTAGGTGACATTATCGAAAAATGCGAAACAACAACCCCGAGCAAGGATGTGGCTATATTTAGGGGAAGGGGTCTCGGGACGTGCGAACCATGGGTAAGCCACCCATCAAATAATAAACTTATGTAAATTAAAACAAAATTTATTGTAGGTTTGTCAAAAATCCAGCCGTCCAGGTCCTGGGAAGATATGTTATTCCACATTGCTGAGAGTATATATGGGTATATTAAGATTGCTAGAAACATTCCAAAAAACAAAAGAAATAGTCGTGCGCCACCTTGTGGCGCACGCCGTCCGTTATGGGTTAAAAGGAATTTCTCCGTCTGCCTAACCCCTTCGGGGAGCATACGGCCCAGAGGTGCTGAAATTGCACTTGAAACCGTAATAGGTCCCTCAAGTGCGCAAAACTTTTGAAAACCTTTCGGCAAACTGGTGACGACACGCTTTGATTTCCTTCTTGTCGTAATTATATTCTTTGCAGTGATTTGATGAACGTTACGTCATTTCCTCCTCCAGGTTTCATGGCAAACAACCCAGGTATGCTCGGTGTTTTGCTTAGTTTTTACTTTTATAGTTAATCATTAAGTCTTCTGCCAATTTAATTCCATTATGGCTTAAATTCCTAATGCACGTCCTTCCCCTCCTGAAATTGTTGCACTGAAGAAAGGCGTAGCAGTTTACTTCATGTGTTTCAATTCAACGTTTTCGGAAATTTCACATTTGTTCTTGAAAAAGTACACGAACTGCAAAATAAAATGCAACCCATAATCGGTTAGTTATTTAGAAAACTGCAATGATTCCGCCGTCTCAAGACGCTGTGTTAGAGCAAACCATTAACTCGGAATCAAACACAAAACGCCTCCAGCGGTGTCCGTGTGCGCACAGCCAACTATCGCAATACCAATGGCACAAATGGCGATGCCTCCTCCAGGGTTTGGGCCCCCTATTGGGCCTCCAATGGTTTTTGGTGGACCACCACCAATGTTCAATGCAATGGGAGCGCCTGCATGCCCGCATGCCTTTCACACCCCCATGATGAAGCATTCACGTTTTGCTTAAAGATATCTTCACAGTATTAGAACTTCGGCTGTATAAGGCAAGATTTCCCTACCATCGAGATTTATTGTAGGCTTGACCTCCGCTGGCCCTTCGGCTTTGAACCCGGAGGTTGGATTTGATACAAACTCCAAAGATCCCGTTCTGACGAGGTCGCGAGTCTTTATTGGACGCCTAAGTAATATTCCAATCACACGTGATGATCTCATTAGCATATGCAAGCCGTTTGGGACTGTTCTTGCGCTCAATTTTTTCAAGGTAATCTAAGAATATTTGATATTTCGGCGCGGAGTTGGTTTATACTGTTTTCAGCAAGGTTACGCCTTTGTGCAATTTTCCAATGCCAGTGAAGCTGACGCTTCCGTGACCGGATTGAATGGCAAGAAATGGATGGGCACAATATTAGGTGAGAGTCTTGCGCTATACAAGCTGCACGAACCTTTTTGCAAGCGCGAACTTACCCATTCATAGATCGCGATTTGGTGACTAGGCGATTTTGACGATTCAACGATTGTTTTGGAAAAAAAATGTACGTATCGTCTGAGGTATCGTCGTACACGACATGTCGCATCGACGAACGGTCATCAATTCGATCGATGCGCACCCAATCCCTTGAGCATAATCGCCAAGCGCCTTATTCGCATAGTCGCCGAACCTTTAGATCGATACGTATGTTTTCTTGTCAGCACAATCGCAGAATCGCATTAATCGCGGTCTATGAATGGGGCCTTTGTTTTATCTAATTTAATTCGCAACTGTCTCGTTTTATTTTTTTCAGCTACTAGGCATCTTTCATTTATGATATTGTCGTGTTATTTTTATAATTTATGATGTTCATTGTTGGTGTTCTTTTATTTTTTTTTTTGATAATTTGTTCTTTTTGGATCGGTTATTTCTTCACCGCCTTAGGGGGGGGGGGGGGTGCAGGAAGATTTCCGCCGGAAACTAGATTCGTTCCGACCGACCTGACTGCCACAGTAGATGTCGACGCGTCATGTCATTATGCGATGTCCACAACGAACGTAAGCTGCGTTGCAGAGCTTTCGCTGCCGCCAAATCGGCTAGTCTACGAATGAAGTTACAGGCCCATGTCGTGCCTTACGGAGTCCATCTTAAAGCAACAATCCCAGGACGAATTTGCGGGTTAAATACCGTTGATAATGTAGTTATAGGCGACAATTTGACCGACAGTGACGAAAAAACCAAAGAAAAACGCCGAACAGGGCTTTAAACAGGGACTCCCCTTCTGGCGCTCAGAGATGTGGGAAGACGCGCGTTGGACGAGTTGTCTGAACTTGCCCCACTACTTGAATGCGCTCCAGTTGCATAACACTAACATAATTACATAACACTATACATAACATAACAACATCACAACAACAAAAAAAAGAAACAATTCCAGTGTAACAGGCAGGATCACATTGATTACTTCAAAAGACATAGTTCAAATACTCCCTGAAAAACGAGCGCGAATGCCTCCGTCAAATCACGGCTGGCAAGTGGGCGGTCCCGAAGAAATCTCCAACCACACCCATCTTTGAGGAGTTTAACGCCCTTATTAGGCTCTTCCCAGGTGGGTTTTCTTTATAACTACACTTTTAGATGTTTTCCGGTAGGGCCTGCGTATACTTTCGTGCCATTAGTATTGAAAGAAGCAGACCCTGCTGGGACTGTTGCTTTAAGGAAGCCTGAGAATGCGGTGCAAGGGCAAGACTAATTTTTTGATGAGGGACAATAGATGTCTAACCTTTTTCTCATCGCAGTCTATTGAAAGTCGTTCCTCTCGCGAGTAGACTCATAGACATAGACGCGGTGTTTGCAAGTTTGGTGCTGTTTACCATTGTTGTTCAGATCCAGGTTCCGCCGCTTCGCATCCGTTCATGAATCCTAGCTTTTTGCTGTGTCTGCGTAGTGTCTGGGATTCTTAATGGTGGCACGTGCCACCCAAGTAACACGATCATGTTCATGGATGTCGTAACCTGCAAACAAAACGAACAGATTGAATAAAAGAACAAGGTCGAAATGGGCTGGGGGAGGAGGGGAGGGCGGCCGGTGTGCGGTTGAGACGGGGCTTCCCTAGTGCTTGCTTCACCGACAACAGCAACAAGACCTCCCACGATGCCCTACCTGACTTTTATACCAGTAATTGTGGCCCTTTTGATCGATATGCGCCAGGTTACTTCTTTGCGATCACTCATTTCTGACCTCTTTCTGAATCTCTGGCGGTCGTGTACTTTTTGATCTCCGCAGATTAGGATTCTGGAGCGGATTGCAATGAGGAAGGGCGGGCCAGAAGAGTTGTACGGAGTTGCCTGCTCCACATCTCACCTAACCGCGTGAACTTGAAGGAGCGCGTCGTGATCTACTTTGCGTGTCATCCGGTGTGCGCGAGGTATCCCGTCCATTAGCTAACATTAGCTGTTGTTGGCTCACATTGTAATGTCCTAGGCCATTGTAGCACACTTCCGAGCCGGCTACATGGCATTTCTCGTCAATTCTGGCCCCTTTTCCTAAGCGCAGTCTTCGCAGCACAACATGTCGCACGAAGTTATACGATTTTTATAGTCGTCTTGCTAACAATCAATGATATTTTTTCGAAACTGTACCACAATACCCTTACACTATATTCTGAGTTGGTATGGGTGTATATCAAGTCTAAATCATTTTCACCTTTGATCGATTCTATCTCCATCAGAAACAAATGGCTGCGGACCATTCTTCACGCTAAAAGCGGAAAGGAAAAAATTATGCTTTTTGTTTCGGTGAACAATTGAAAGGACTAAGAGAACTACTACCCGTTCTTTCGAGTTTCCGCCGTAGAATGTCATAAATGTTGACTCCGGTGATGCTTCCTTCCTTGGAGTGTCATGGCTCCCCCACTTTCTTCACGATTTGAGGCGCGGCCGCGGCGAGTGCGGACGAGTTGGTAGTGCCCGCGAACTGTGCTGGTAGGTTCGAAAACACTCCATCAGCCACGGTGAATATTGCTTGAGGATTCCTCAATGGCACGTCGAGGATTTTCGCCTGATCCTTTACGTTCTCGCGCGCGGATATTCACTCTCGCCACCCGCGAGCCGTCTGTGCTCTCCGCGCGTACATTCACTATCGGCTCTACTCTCGCACAGCAGAGAGCGATGGTCGAGGAATTCCTCGACCGTTATTCACCCTGGCCATCAGCACAGTTCGTGGGCACTATAAACTCAGCCGCGCTCTCCGCGGCCGCGCCCCCAATCTTGAAGAAAGTAGGGAAGCTGAGTGTCATCGATTCAGAAAGTCTTCCGGCCAGCTTACCTTTTGACAAGAACAACACATTTTATAGCTTTCACTAATTCAATCCTTCCACTAATTGCCTGACTTCCTGGACCTATCGCTCTTGAAGGCACTGATTTCAATTCTGGAGGCTTGAATTCAGTTCCTCCTACAGCGCGTCGTCTGGTACATGGCCACCATGTTCCTTGTTCTTCGCTCTCCTCAGCACCCGCCCAAGTTCTGTGAACCATCCCAAAGTGTTGCTTCTGAAAGCTCCCTCCTCCTCGAAAACTTATTTTACATGCATAGATTTTTTTCAACTTCTGATCAACGCCATGGACGATTCTTTTAAGTCATCTCTGATCTCAGCTTAGATATCACACTAACGTGAGACTTAGGCTAGCTGTAACATAACGCAAAAAAGGAGTCTCCATTGCCATTGCATAGTTCTGTTGACCTGACCTTGTGGTAAGACTTGAACACTTCACTTGATGTGGATTCTACATCGTAATCATGAACATGATTAGAATCCATGATCCAGCTCTTCTCACAACCACGCTGTCAAACAGTGCGCTGAAACAACAGGAGATTGTTATTGTGAACATTTTTATCTTTTTTGATTTTCTTGTTGTGTGGTTTTGATATGTCTTGTGTACCGTTTTGATCTTTCTTAATTCATGCCGTTTACGTTGATGTTCACCGTGTATCGTTTCAAATATGTTTGTGCTCCAGATGTTCATCTTGTGGAGTCGTATGCAGGAAAGAAACGCCTGGAGCAAGAAGAAAGGTAATCGATCTCCTGTCCATGGCGGTACCGCGTTGGGTGGTGATACTTCGAATATTTTGTCATTTTCGTGATCTATGAAATATTCTCTGACATACCTGTGATTTTTCAAGTATACCCACTTGCACTTCTCCATGTGCTGTGGTTCGACCGTGTCTGGCTCATATTCCTTTGGTGAAAAAAATTTCTGGATAAACTAGAAATCGTCGTCTATTGGGATTGATTATGATTTCTTGTCCACGGTATTTGGTTTTTGTTTCAGTGCCTCGCGTAAACGTGCTGGAGAGGATGACAACAGTCGTGCTTTGAAAGTTTCTCGTGAGGACAGCGCTACTGTAGATGACATAAAAGAACTGAATAGCCGAAACCGAACTGTTGCTTTGAGCGATGCCACAACGAATGGTGACCTCTCCCATGCAGGTGCGTTGCGTTCTAAACATGAATTCTTTTGGAAAAATAATGACCATTCTGTGGACCACTATGTTTGTGGCTATGTTTAGGTTTATTCCACGAATAAATACAGAAATTTAACACGTTGACGACAGCGTGACGCGGTAACGTCCCACTTTGCGCACCTCGTGGGACATTGTGACGCGGTAACGCGTCCCACCCAAGTCATCCCTTTTC